TATTTTGCCATGTATTTAAATAGAATAAATATTATTTGAATTTCCCATTTTTGTTGGCTCTGCTTTGTTTATTTTTAAAACTTAGTTTTTTACGCAACGCCTAATATAAAAAAACTTTCAAACGGCTGTGACTAAGTTGTCTAAAATAAAATACTTATGCGTGGACATACAAGACGAAAAACCGCATGCGTTTCCTGGGAAGGCTTGCTCATCAAATATATTACCTGGAAAATGAATAAACTTTTTTGCATATCAAACTATACTATTAAAATATAAAATTTTAATTATGACACCGCAATTTAAATATATTTTTTAAATTAATAAATTTAAGCCGGAAATTTTTGCATTTACCGCGATAACGTAAATTCGTTAGGTTTAAAATAAAGTGTGGCTTAACAAAGCATTTTAAGTTTAAAATAAAGTGTGGCTTAACGAAGCATGCCTTGACTGTTTATTCTTTTTTTTAACGAGTTACTTATTTTGTAGAGCAAGTTGGTATATATATAGGGATAGGAATAACGGAGTGTAAATAAATCAACTGACTTTAGTAGAAATAAGCGCATCGAGTGTACATACATTGGCTGATATGTTAGGGCAAGTGGTCTGATAATGAAAAGATTTTATTTTTATATTTTTGGTTTTAAAGGACTCTTTGGACTAGGAATTTGACGAAAGAGCCGACCTATTTATTCAACACTACATTAAGTATCTGTTAACTAACTCATGCGCATACGAACATTTTTTCTACATAATGATTTAATAAAAACATTTTAACAAATAAATGAAGCGCTTTGTGTTAAACGGGAAACAAACTCTTTAAATAAACAAACATTTGACAATATTATAAACTTTTCAGTTTAGTTAATTTCATTTTTATTATTTTTTCGTTTTCTTTTAGCTATTTACCGTGTCAAAACTTTTAATGTAATGTTTATTTGAAAATATTTTTGTTAGTTAATATTTTTTTCTAACGAAATTTTATATTCCGGAGTTTTAATTGCGAAATATGTCAAAAATTAAAAACATTTTGTTTTTCTTGCTAATGTGTTCAATATATAAATATATAAACATATAAATACATATATATATATATATATATATATATATATATATATATATATATATATATATATATATATATATATATATATATATATATATATATATATATATATATATATATATATATATATATATATATATGTATATGTATATGTATATATATATATATATATATATTTATATATATATAAGCATATATATATATATATATATATATATATATATATATATATATATATATATATATATATATATATATATATATATATATATATATATATATATATATATATCCAGGACCGGCGCGAGTCAAGGGGGTGTCAAGTGTCACAAGTGAAACTTGACACCCCCCACGTGTCCACGTGGGGGGTGTCACAATTGTAAAGTGGCAAAATTGTAAAGGCACCGTGTAATTGTAACGTGGCAAAATTATAAAGGCACCGCCCACGTGGGGAGTGCCTTTACAATTTTGCCGACAATTAAAAAAAAGGTACTCGTGTTTTGAAATTTGTCGACTGACTTGTCTAAAGGGTCAAAATTGCCGACTAAATGAACAAAAAAATCATTGATGGGAGGAAGGGGTTTTTTCCCTTTCTCTCCCCCCCCCCCCCCCCACACACACCATTGCGCTGGCCTTATATACATATTGAACATCACATTAGGAATAAATGAGCCTCTCAGTGCACTCTTTGACTAACTCCATAAAAGTGGAGAAAAGCGATGAAATAATATACATTAATTTTTAAAGTTTCCATTATGGTATAAAAAAAAGCAGTTTAATGAGCTTATTTAGGAAATTCGTTAAAAATGCAAAAAGTTATGAACAAACCGAATACGCCGACGCTTAAATTTAACTGAAATGTGCACAGAGAGACTTAAATGTGAAAATATTTTCAAGAAATTGTAGTAATTATGTAAATATTACTTGGTAAAGAGTACTCAATACGATAGTAAACCAATATATTGTAAAAACTAAATAATTATTATACTCGATTTATTTTAAACATAACTCGCAAACTTGCGATCATCAGATGTCGTCTGATGATCGCAATATATTATAGTAGTTATGTGATATTATAGTAGTAATATATATATATATATATATATATATATATATATATATATATATATATATATATATATATATATATATATATATATATATATATATATATCAATTCATACTTTAAATTTGTTAAAAAAAAAAATACTTCAAAATTAAATAAGATAAAGTATTTAAAAAAATAAGGTTTATTTTTTATTAAAAATAAGCACTTATTGAATTTTTATTTTTACCTGATGTTGGGATAAGGAACAATGTGTGCAAAATAATTCTATTAACCTTTAAATAAAAAATTAAAAATTGGTACCTTATTTTTTTTGTATGTATTTCAACAAAATTTGTTTTTGACTGTTGATGCGTCCAAAACAATTATGAATTGATACTTGAGAAATTAGAAAATATATTTAGCTAAGTGTTGACGATTGCCAACAAATTTAAAAAGTTACACCTAGAATTAAGTGTATTTCCTCAAAAAAAATGCCTAATTTATATAAAAAGCATAGATAAAAAACATAACAACTTTAATTTTATTTGTTTATTATTCATTAATGTTTAAATAAAGATAGTAATTGCTTTGAAATGCAATGTAATTAACATTAAATGTGTTTGTTGAACACAGAAAAAAGAAATTAAAATAAAAAAAACCTAAAAAATAAGGAAGTATTACTCTAAAAAAAATCAAAAATCATGTTAAATTACATTTGTAAATGTCAAATGCAAAAAAATACCGAAGATTTGCAGTATTATTAAAATCACCTGAATTTGTTAATTCTAAGGAACACAGAGACTTACAACTTTCGACTAACAACTTACAACCTACAACTTACTATTTACGACTTACATCTTGTGGCTTATGACTTACGACCTACGACTTACGGCTTACTACTCACGGCTTACGACATACGACTTATGACAAGCTATATTTACAACTTTACTTATATTGATATATATACATGATATTGGTCTAAAAGATTGGACTTCTTGGAGAACTTTAATAACAACACACACAATTGTTTCTTGAAATCAAAATTGTTTCTTTGATATACATTTGATATTTTAGTTACTCCGTAAGATAATTAAAAATTTCCGTATAATTAGTTGTAATTAAAATGAGTTGTTTTTTTAATTAGTTTTTAAGGAATTTACATTTTTTTGGAAGAGAAATTGAGGAATATTTCGGTGTTAATTAGTCTTGCAAGTAAGGACCACAATATACTATGAAGAGTTAGGATAGTTTTCTTTTTTTCAAGAGTACTATATAATTTCCAGTTGCTCTAGTGCTAAATTGATTAATGTTAATTTTAAAATTTTTATTTATAAATCGACTTGGAACAGTTACCATTTTATGTTTAAACATAAACAAAATGTTTGATATATATTGATTTGGTAAATAGTTACAGTATTCATCTGTTTTAGTAATGGGTTTGCGTGAGTAAGCTTTTCTTTATAAAATATAGCACTTAAAGCAAGTTTCTGCCGTCTAGAAAGAGATCTTAATTTAGTTTTATGGGTACTTGCCCATGCTATATTTGCGTATGGTAGATAGCTGTGTATAAAGAAAAAATAAAGAAGTTTTAAATTTTTAAACGATAGATAAGGTCTTGCTTTAGACCAACATTTTTTGAGATTTATGTGTTAATGGCATTTATGTGAGAGTTACATGATAAATTCTCATCAAGAAGCACACCAAGAAATTTAGATGATTGAGTTCGTTCGATAATTGTGTTATCTATACTAAGAGTTGGTAAAATTGATGGAAAGTTTCTTTTTTTTAGTTAAGTACAAATAAATCAATTTATTTTTGACAAATTTTTTAAAAAATACTTTCTTTCATTTTTTTTGGTTAGTATTTTTTTTTTTATATTTCATGTTATATTTTTATTGTTGTTTTTATTTGCTTCTTTTAGTTCTGTTTTAAAAAGTTAAATAAATAAATTTGAATATTCTGAATCTTTTTAAATTCTCAATTTTTATAAATTATAAAAATTCTTTTATTACGCATTTCAATTGTAAAGTTTCAGGACCTTCAGTTTGTTTTATACTTTTTTTTTCAAACTTATTTCACACTTCTTTCTAATATTTGTGTATTAATGAAGTTGTAAATTTTTATTTAATTTTTTAAATATTCACAAATATTTTGTTTACCCCTAAAATCTATGCCAAGGAGGTCTTATACATAACAATATCCGGATGCAGTTAACATCTGCCCAAGATGAATCGAAACACCATCTCAAGCCATCACTTAACCAAGAGCTCCAAAGAGATACTTTAAGTCCAAATTAACTTCTCCTTGACCCTGCCTAGCGAGTTTTTCAAGGCAGTAGGACATAAAACAGGTTTTATTAGATCCCGTGTTACCAGATGAGCAAAATGAACATTTGATCCTAATGACCTGACCTGGATTTATAAAATTTACAGCAACATATTACAATGTTGCTGTAACTTTTATAATTTATTGATACAAGTTATTAGAACAAGTTATTGAAACATAACCGAAACTTTCCCAAATTTGCACATTTTACACAAACGCGCGTGGTTTTGAAACAAGTTTAGTGTTTTAAGTTTATTTCAGTGCGTTTATAAAACTATAGTTAAAAATGAAGTAAATATTTACGACTATTTATACTGTTTTAATAAACTTAAGTGTAATGATAAATTAATTAGACAACAAAACCTATTATAAAGTGTTACTTACTATTAAATAAAAAAATTAGAAAATACTTTTTTAGATAATGTTGTAAGTTAACTTTATGGGAAAAGATAGAACAAAAACAAAAACTTGCGTTTAATGTAATTACTGCGTTCAAATAATGCTCAAACAGCCAATTACAAACTATATTCAGTAAAAAAAAAAAATCAAATTAAAAATAACGGATTAACAAATTACTTTTTTGTATAATGTCATTTAATTTACATTCAAACGTGTAACGAATCGATTAATGATACTAACGAAAATGATTAAAAAGAGTTAGTAGCATCCATGTACATTTCAACCGCTTCAATTATTTTAGCTGTGACTTCATCTTGATCTGTAAAAAAGAAAAAATGTTGATTACTAATATTTTTTTGGGAACAAATTAACACAAGTAAATTAAGCTTCACACAAATAAATTAAACTTTAAACAAATATGTTAAATATTAAAGTTTTATTATCGTTTTTTTCAATTTTTTTTCTATTACTTTTACTACTGTTTAATTCGTTTTTTATAATTTTTTTAAAATTTTTCTCATTATTGTTTTTACTGTGATTCCTCTTTTTTTTACTATTTCTTAACTTTTTATTAATCATATTACCTTTTTTTTTTCTTTATTATAGTTATTTCAATTATTACTATTATATAATAATGATTCTTTATATAATAATTATTACTTCACATTATTAATATAATTTTTGCTATTAATTTTATTTTTGTTAAATTAATAGATTTTTACTTTAGAATAGTATTTACTGATATTTATAAACATCGCATCACAACTTTTTAGATTATGTTTAAAAATAGATTTACCTATGCTTCTTTTGTATAAGTTATCTCCATTATTATTGTTCCATCGTTCCAAAATAAATTTAACAATTAGTTTGTAAAGATCAATTGCATTACTTATACCATTTGCAACAGCGTTGCGGATAAAGTTGTTAACCTGCACTAACGGAACCGTAAACCTATCGGCAAGTTTTTGGACTTTATCACAAAACTAAAATAAATTTGAAAAATCGTTTAATTTTGTTTATCACGCTAAACGAAGAATACAGAGATAGAATACAGAGAATAGAAAACACGTAAATAATTTCTAAAAACACTAAGATTTAGAGCATGTTTTTGAGAAAAATAGACCTTACTGTTTGTTGGAAGACTCGAACGCAAGAGAATTGTGCTTTAAGAAACTCGACGGATTTATCGTACAAATCCTTGGCGTTGCTTGCTCCTAAAGTTGAAAGAAAAGTATTAGTTTCGTTGTTTTCATATTCCAAATGACGATTATTTTTTAACTTTTTTTTATAAGTAATGTTTTTCTCTAGTTAACCACAATCAGTGTCTAAATCTAAACCTTCTATAATGGCTTCTTTTATTGCTTGAGTTGTATCTTTAACAGACATGTGAAGCTTTTTAGCATATTCTTCAACTTTATTGCAAATCTAATTGAAAGAAAAGTAAAACCAATGCAATATTTAGCGTAAATCCAGTTAAATCTTCTTATTTAAATAAATCACCACTTATATGTCAGATAAAAAAAATTTTAAACGAGCGCCGAATAAAAGCTGATTTTTCAAATATTAAAGGTTTTTAATTAAAATATATGTTATAGACTATAGTTTTTAATTAAAATATATGTTATAGACTATAGTTTTTAATTAAGATATATGTTATAGACTATAGTTTTTAAATAAAATATGTTATAAACTATAGTTTTTAATTAAAATATATGTTATAGACTATAGTTTTTAATTAAAATATATGTTATAGACTATAGTTTTTAATTAAAATTGTTATGGACTATCATTACAGTATAACTACAATGCTATATTTTTCACTAATCAGTTTTTTAATCGCGGGAAACGTAGCAAAATATCTAGTGCAGTGGCAAAAAGTATTTAAAGTAAACAATAATAAAAGACTGGTAACAGAGGAGTACCAAAAACATACTACAAGTTGTGAAAAGTAAATGAATAATTATTTTTCTTACGTTTGAGTCGACAAGGTCTTTGCAAGTTAAATTTTTTACATCGTTTAGTAAAAAACCAAGGGTTTGATGAAAGATGTCTTGCGCTTTAACTGCCCCGTTAACGATTGCATCTAATAGAGCCTCTTGAATTGCGTTTGTTGTGAGTTTTAAATTTTTACCGATAGAAAATATTTTGTCGCAAAACTATAAAAAAAATATAACTTTATGTTTAGACAATGAGACCATGAACCAGTCACAGAGTAAACAATCCATGCATGAACAGTTATTAATCAATTAGAAATCATTACTTACATCTTGGGTAATTACACTATTGCATGTAAAGTTGGTGGCTTTGCTGACAAGATAATCTTTGACATACTGAAGAATTTCATTTGTCTGTTTCAAATTGTTTTTAATTGCTAGGACAATGGCATCTTTCACCATATTTTTATTTTCGTGGAATGATTTAACCGCTCTGTCAAGTATATCGCAGGTCTACATTTTTTGAAAACATTTAAAAAACTAATAAGTTATTGTTTAAAAAATTCAAAAGACAAAATAAAATAAAAATGTATATAAAGCGTACATTTAAACAAAACCCTAACCCTGACAAAATTTAAAAAAAAAATAGAATTTCTAGATTTTAATGCAACCTACAAGCGCCCTAATTGGTCGTTTGTAGTCGTTATTTGTGGAATAAGACCTGTATAACCCTCAAATAGTTACTTACTTCACTGATGTACTTTTTTACAATGACCTTTGAATGAGTTTTCTAATAAAATGTTTGAAGATGTAATGAAAAATTCAAAAAAAGACACTCACCTTTACGTCAAACACATTTTCACAGGAGACAAGATTTGTCAAATAAGAAATGGCATTATTATACAAATCTGCGGCATTTTGAGCTCCATTAACGATTGCTTCACGAACAGCCCGGCTGACTTCAGACACTTGAAGATGTGCAGCAGTAACAAAATCACCAATCTTTTTGCAGCTCTATTAAAGACAAAGAGACACAAAATAAGTACCATGATACCATGGTGATTTATGATACCTTATTATTACATTCATTTTCATTTTACTATACTAATTTTAACTTATTCCTTTTTTTATGATATATATTTTTTTCTACGTCAGGTGACCTTATCAAAGAAGTAACTAAATATAGAATGTTTATAGATTTTAAAACTATTTTGTTCTTTATAAAAACATAAAGTTGGAGTCATTACACTTCACAATTTTAATATTAGCAAGCAATTTTTATGTTATATAATATTTTACAAATAATTTTTTTGAATGAATCTCAAATCCACTAATTTTTCTTAGATGTACAACCAAAATATTTTTAAACTTAAAAAAATTAGTGAATCATTTTAAACTTATTAAATACTTTAAGATTAAAAAGACTTACTTCTTCGGGGAGGACCTCTTTGCATACAAAGTCTTTAGCATTATCGACTAGATATTCTTTTACATAAGCTAATACTTCAGCAGTCTTAGTTATGTGGAGGTTGAAAGCGTCGACAACAGCTTGATTTACAATATCTACTTGTTCATGGAATTTTGTTGCAATACCTCTGAGTTTGTTGCAAGTCTAAAATAATGGAAGATCAAGTATATGTGTTAAACTATGTAAACTTTTTTTTTTTTTAATAATTTTTTAACACATATAGTGTTTTTTTTTAACACATATAGTGTATTTTTAAATAAAATTGTTCGTTGTTATGTAACGAGGAAAATAATCAATTATGTAATTATGCAAAAAAAAATATATTTTTGCTAATAATGTTAAAAATATCATAACTTACATCAGCTGGAAGCACGTCTTCACATACTTTAGGTATTTTAACTAGACCATCTGCTAAAGCAGTGTTCACCAAGAGTAGTGAAGCAAAAATAAAAATAATCGATTTCATCTAAAACGAAAAAATCATTCAATTTCAAGCTACTTTGTATGCGTTTTAAACCAATAGAGCAATTGAGCTTCTTGAACCAGCAACCTTACCTCAACCCGTTTGAAATAGATCCAAAAAATAAATGAAAGATTTAGTTGCTGGCAACTTTATATATACCTAAATATTATGCAAACATGTTTACTAAACAAAATAAAAAAATTACGCATCCATTTTTTGATGGGTTGAACGTTAAGCAGCTGAATAAATAGTATACCAACTGTACACACTACCGTAAATAATCATAATGGTCAAGTCTGTATATTTATTTCAACACATTTACGCAATACATCTTTCTACATTTATATATTTTCAAAAATGTTCAATGTTTCATTTTTTCAAAAAATCAATTAACAATATTTTATGATTGTAAAAAGAAATCGTAAAATAATTCCAAAAAAAAGTTCTCAACTTAAGTTTTTTCTACTGTTTTGTGTATTTTTTTTTCCCCAAATCGTTTCAAGCAATAACTTCTAAAAATAACGATTATAAATGGGTGTCAGGGTGTGAATATCTATCTTATGTTAAATATCAGATAAACTTTTATTTCGAAAAGTCCAAAACTTTTAGCAGTTAGTTTAAAAGTTTAAATTGAAAGTTTCTGATTTATGATAAGTTTATAATAAATAAAACTCACAAAGATTATATAAATATTAGGATGTGTCAAAAAAATTTTTTTCTTGTTACAGGCTCTAAACAATTCTAATAGTTATTAATATTGATACTATCATATATGAGAATGATTGTGATAGATTTAAAGGGCGCAACTTAATTGGGAAAATTACCGGTACCCTAATATTTTGGAGAAAAAAAGTTTTTCAAAAGTAGATCAACCTGGTACTCAAAAGAAGCGAAATTTTTTAAAAAATTCGAAAATAATAATCGTTTTATAAAAATCATATTGCTAAAAAATTGTTACTAAAAAACATGTAAAAAATGCACCTTTTTCACTTTTAGTTAAAAAACTATAGTTATTATGCAATAAAATCTAAAATAATAATTTTTATATGAAAAAATTATTATTTTTGAAATTATTATAATACTGCGCTTTATTTGAGTACCTTCATTACATAATTTTGAAAAACTTTTTTTTTTTGAATAATAATAGGCCTGCTAATTTTTGTAATTATAGTTGCGGGTGGAAGACATTGTTCAATCCATAAAAGTAAATACTTTTCTAAATAATAAAAAAAACAAAAAAAATACATAAAAAAAACAAAAAAAAAAAAAAATTTTCTCTTGTGTTTAGTTTTGTAACATCATAGACATTAAAAATTTTTTGTTGATTTTCAATAAATGGACTTGTGTCCTTTTTAAAATGACAAGTTCTAATGTCGTGTTTTATAATTATCATGTTGTATTTTCTTTTTCCGTTTTTCATAAAACAAATAAAACAAGTCAATATAAAAAAGAATTTTTTTAAACTTAGTTCTTTCCTGTTATTGAAACTCAATTTTAGCAATCTATTTAAAAAAAAGATTAAATTAATAATCATTAATAATATAATTTTAAAAATAATAATACAATATAATATAAATAATAATGAAAACATTGAATTCACGAGATAATTATTTTTTTTAACGCAAAATATTTTAAAATTTTGTAAGTAAAAAAACAGGTTACCAGTGTCTGAACTTGACTTTTGGATCTTGGGTATCCTAGGCAAACACATTAGGGTAAAACACTTGAGCTAGAATTAGTTTTGCAAACTGCATACATGTTAAATATGAAAAAAAACTTCAACTTTTTCATAGAGTCTCTTCAACCTCCTTTATAAAAAACTACATAAGGTATTATAATTTGGTCTATACTTTTCTCAAACTGTACTTAAACTTCTACTAAGTTATAATTTATTATATATTAACTAAAACTTCTATAATCTAACTTCTTCTCTCGTTCTTCTCATATCTCTGTAACTTTTCTCGTTTTTTGTCATATCTCTGTAAATTCTTCTTTTTTTTTTTTTCTTTGCACCATCTTCTCTCATTCTTCTCATATCTATGTAACTTCTCTTGTTTTTTGTCATATCTCTGTAAATTCTTTTCTCTTGCTTCTTATATCTCTGAAAATTTTTTTCTTTTTTTCCTCAATTCTCTGTAAATTATTATCTCTGTAAATTCTTCTCTTTTCTGTAGCTTCTTTTCTCTTTTTTCTCTTATCTCAGTAACTTCTTCTCTAATAAACTTACTTTGCAGAAATGCAAGTAATACAAAAAGGAAATTGAACTACCCAGTTGGCATTTGGTCCTAAAAAGACGTCTTTTAAACGTTCAAAAGACGTCTTTTTTTTGTTCAAAAGACGTTTAAAACGTCTTTTGAACAAAAAAAAACAAAAACTAATATTTTAATGAAAAAATAATCAAGAAGATTTGAGTTGATGACTTGATGATATTGAACAAAAGCTTGATAGTTTTGTTGAGTGATAATAAAATAATAATCAATTCTACTAAATATTTATTAGTTACTCATATTATCTTGTTTCTTGTGTTTTGTTCATCATTTATTTGCGTGATTGATTGTTTAGTTTAGCTACTTTTGCTACTGGAATCATTTCTGGTGATGTGTAATTTTTAGAAAGCTATGTGTTACCTCGGTGATGTCTACTTTTTAGAAATGTGTTTCCTTGAAATTAAAAATCTAAAATCTAAAGCATAAATCTATAAATTATTTTGTATAAATATTAAGGTTATTACTAAGGCCGAATTATAGGTCTTGGGAGCCTAGTGAAAAAGTTAATTGGGAGCCTCATTCCTAAAAAAATATGTTTAAAATAATAGCAGCAAAAAAAAAAACTTTTTTATTCACAGAGAAATTTTTCTTGCTTTCACATTGACAATGTCAATAACGACACCCAGGGGCGGATCCAAGAGTTTTTGGTATTTGTGTTATATAACTTTTAGGTAAGTTCTAAATTCCAAATTTTTGTATTTTTATACTTTAATCATTTAAGGTTAATTTTCCAAAAATTGCGTTGAATAGAGCCTGGGAACAAAAAAACCCTAAAAAGTAGGCATCGCTCGCCCAAGTGTGTGAGGGGGGGGGGGTGAGAAAATCGGTTTTTCTAAATATAAATTCTAATATCCTAAATTGGGTGGTAATATCGTTAAGGTTCTAAATTTTTTTGAATTTTATTATGTTGTTTAGAAATTATACTCAGTTTAAATTTACAAGCCCCTCATTTTGAGGGGGCTCTAAACTTTTTATAGTTATATCTTTTAAACGCTAGATGATTTTTTGATCAAACTTTAAATATAGATACACATTTAAATTTTATTAAAGGAAGTAAGTTTTTTTTTTTCGAAAAATCATTTCTCCTCTCATTTGGGCGAGTGATGCCAATTATTTAGGGTATTTTTGTTCCCAGGCTCTAATCAGCAAAGCATTCTTAAATGACATAAGTGTGAGTATAAAAAAGTTTAAAGTTTCGAACTTGCCTGAAAGTTATTTAACTCAAGCACCAAAAAATCCTGGATCCACCCCTGACACCTTTAAAACTTATATTTTGCAACGGAGTTGTACTTTTTAGCATAAAATAAGAGCACTTAAATGACTATTTAACATTGAGAAACAGAGATTATTCTTAGCTCTTGCCGTTTTTAAAAATGCTCTTTACTATTGGTAATGGGAAGAATCAGAATCATTGGTTAAATAAGGATTCTAATTTATTCTTTTGAATTTCTTGCAAACATCTTGATGCTGATATGTTCTTCTATTTGCCATGAATTTGAAAAACTGGGCAATTTCATCATTAGATGATATATAAAGGATCCGTGGTTCAAACCCCATTTCTAGGCAAGTTTTGCGATATTGGTTAGGAAAGAGGTGTGCACTTTCAACTAATTTCTCATCCGCGATGCTCTGTGAAAAGGTCGTAAGAACTTCTTGGAGCACCTAAATAAAATTAAAAAAATAAAAAAATAAAAAAAGGAGAAATAGTGCACAAGGATTTGGCAGCAGCAACAATGACAGGAACGGTCATGGTCGGAAAACTAGTTAGAAAACCAAACTTCTTCTCTAAAAACTCGTAAGCAGAAAGTAATTCATTTTTTCAAGCACATTTTCAACTTGTCTAAGATTTTGTACTTTGATGCTTGCACTGTTTAGGAAATATACTAAAAAAAGTAATGCCTAATAATTTAAGGTATTAGCTGTAATGAGTTAATCGGTAATCTTAATAAGTAAGATATAATGAGTTTGGCACAGTAGAAGACAAAAGTCTTGTCGTCCTAAAAAAATGTCAGAAAGCGACAAAAATAAAGCAATTATGCTTGTTAAATGCAATTCAAACATGAGCATAGCTGAAAATGTCTCAGACCTGAATACAACAATAGATGCACGTCAAGTTAGCCGATCAACAATAAGGAAGCAAAAAATTAGAAAAAACAACTCAATTAGTACCTTGCAACAAAGAAGTTACTACTAATCATTAAAGAGCATATCAAGCCAAGAAAATGGTGCAAAGAAAGACCTGCACGAAAAGTAGAGCAATGGAGAAAAGTAATTTTTTGTCAAGTTGAACTTTGAACTTATCAATTGCAAAGAAAAGATTTTAGTGAGGAGATACAAAAACGAAAAATACAAACTTTTATCTTTAAAAAGAAAGACTTTAAGTAGGAGAAGACTCAATTGGCATTTGGGTCTGCACTGTTGGATCTATCACTGGCCTGGTGCACCTTTACACTGATTATCTCAATCAATACTGGTATAGAGAGGTATTAGAAGATTATTTACAGCCTTTAATGGACGTTTTCGGAACTGACTCCACTTGGCAATTTCAACAAGATAACATTATTTGCCTCACAACATGCTCAATCAAGTAATACGTGAAGAAAAAACAATTGAATATGATGCCTTAGCCAACCAACTCACTTGATTTGAATCCTATTGAGAATCATTTCAGTTGGAAGGATTGTAAATTGTAAAAGAGCAAACTTATTTACTTAAAGCAGCTTGAGACTTAAAACACGGTATTCCAAGACGCAAGCGTTTTGGAATTCCGTACCACAAGTTCTAATTAAAAAACTTATAGATTCCATACCACGTAGAGTCTTGACATGTCTTAAAAACAAAGGTCATATAATACATTAAATTTTATCAGAATCCTTGGAAGATTGTAAGTGAGCTAAAAATTTTGCACACCTTTTTTTTTCGAATAACACTTGTTCAAAGTT